ACTGGGTGTTGTATGGAAACCAATTTGACAATAAATTTCATATATTGAAAAATAAATAAATAAATAAATAAATAAATCAAAAATAAAAAATAAAAAAATAAAAAACATGCCAGACTCAACTAGCTTCCAGCTTTGAATACAAGTGGGAGGTGTTGTTTTTCATTTTTTTTTCAAATTCACAAAGTATACAGAGAAACAGCAAAGTTCAAAAACTTATCTACCACCTCTAATGCAACCAATTAAGTTTTTTAAAAAAAATCTTATAAAAAGCTTACATACATACATATCTATTTGTATCATGAGAAATATTTTTATTTACACCAAAGAATTGTGTATTGTATCCTTTCCTTTTTAATATTAATTACATTCATGATATCTGTTGGGTATGTGGCTACAAAGTAATTCACATGTCTACACCATATTTTATTTGACCACCATTCCCTTCTTGCTGATCACTTTAGCTATTCTTAATTCTTTCGTGGCAGTAAGCATCCTTACACATAGATTATACGCATCGTGATGAACTTCTGTAAATATTTTACAAGGTAAATTCCTGAGAGTGAGATCGTGGATGCATGTAAAATGTGGATAAATGTAGTGAGATTAACACATATTTTAAAATAGATGCTACCTACGGTTGTCAAGCACACTTTCACGACTGTCAGTTCGGAAGCCTAGGCAGAGCGCGGTTGACCAGCTGCCAGCTGGGGACGGCGGTCATCAGCCCTCAGTGCCACTGAGGCAGTCTCCGAGGGCAGGCGCTCTCGGGTCACGTGGGCGGCTTGCCCCGCCCCGCGGAAGCTCCGAGCCTCGGTCGGAGGCCTGGCTCCCGCGGGAGAGTCACACGGCCTCCGCTGCTGGCAGGACTTGCGGAGGCGGAGCAAGGGACTAAAGGTAAATTCAGCTCTCGCGGCGGGGTTGGGCGGGGCTCGCGAGCGCCGCTATTTCCGGCCGGGCTGCGGGCGTCAGGTCGGGCTTCCGCCGGCAGCGCCGGCGGTGGCCTGGAGCTGGTGGGGCGGGCTGTCGTCTGGCCTATGCTCCCGGCCCTTCTGAGCGCTGTGACTCTGCCAGGAGTCGGCTCGCGTTCGTTAACCGTTAATCTCCGGACTGGCTTCCGCCCAGTCACAGCGAGGCCCTTCGGGCTTGTTCACCTTACAGTTCGGGCCCACCCGGGACCTGCCGCCTGTGTGGGGCAGGCGGGGTGTTTTTAACTAGCTTTCCTGGCTTCTATGCGTACTAAATCTGCTCCGCGGTTTCTGCAGCCCAGGCAGTGGTAGATACTCGTCTCCTGAAGTCTGTAGGCGCAACAGTCCAGAACCTCTGGACAGCCACGTGTAGCCTGTGCCCGGGGTTCCTGAGCGCCTCTCCGTATAACTACTGTAGAAGGTCTTTACTAAGGTGTTAAATACACTTTCAAGTCGTGCGTTAATTTGTCAGAACTGGAAGGGCCTTAGAGATGACAGCTAACATGGTTAGAGCGTTTCCCATGGTCCGGTCCTGCTATAAAACACTTGATTTGTAGTGAGCGTTCATTTCTCGCCACATCCCTATGTGGCAGATCATTCTTACAGACGTGCAAACTGCAGCACAGGGAAATTAAGCAACTTGCCCCAAATCACGCAGAGCCAGGATTCAAACCGAGATGAACTCACCAGTGATTACAGATTTCTAATAGCAGGGATGATGGTAGTAAATTTGAGCAGCTACATGACTTTATTAAATGATTAGGGAACTATTCCGCTTTAAACATCTGTTGATGCTACTCTTGTGACATTAGCTTTCCTAAAGTAAAAAAAAATTCAGAACCATGTTTGGTGATAAACGTACATCTATGTATATATACGTACACAGATATCTTTATTTTGCTAAAAGGCTTTGTACCTTTAAGACAGTTTACTTGCAGGCCACGTGTTTTTATAAACCCATGGATGCTGCTTAGATGAAATGTTAAGATGTATACACTGTGTTCACTGAATATAGACTCAGAAGATGTAGTTTTGAATCCTGAGTGCTACTTTGTGGGTTTTGAATCCTGACTGCCACTTTTGTTAAAGGGGATCCTTTACCCTTAGTTTCCTAATCTGCAAGATAGGTATACTACTCACCCCTTGGCGATAGTGAACTCCTGTATGCAAACAGTCCAAGTGGGTGGCCACTCACTGAAGGATAACTAGTTTTATCTATAATATTCTGCCATCCAAAGAGATGCAAAACTAATATCTAAGGCTGGTCTCTTCTCTGAACCTAAAAACAAGGGTGTCACCCTGGAGCTATGCATTCTGATAATGTGTAGGTCAAGGCTCCAGACTTAGTAAAAGCACCTTTGTCAGAGATCAAGAGGAATAACAAGTAAGTTCTTTTAATTTCATGTCTCTTTTGTCTCCAGTGTCTTATGGAAACTTATTTATTTATTTTTTTAATTTAACCTGAATGGATTCCCTATGCTGGAAAAGTAATAGAGACTGAGGATCTATCGAACTAATCTGTAATTTTATATGGTGTTAGCACCTTTAGAAACCTATTTTAGGCACGGGCCAAAAAAATACTTCTTAAGGAGGAAAATGGAACAAAATGGCTAAATATTTCAGAAGTGACTTTGCTTGATCTAGTCCCCAAACAGCACAGACCGGTTAATTTTTCACTTTCTTTTTAGTTAAGATTCTGCTATCTTAAAGTAGACTCAAAATGAGGAAATGTATGGGAGCATATGAATAGTGCATCAAAGTAACAGTAACTAAGGTGAATACATTGACTCTTATTATTGTCTGAATGGACCATGATATTCACAATATTTAATTAAGAATAATGTGGATGTTAATTATAAATATTACTAGCTATCATAAATACATATGACCATTATTTGAAGGGTATGATAATACTTTCCTAAGCAAAAAGCAAGACTGTAATCATAGTTCTCTGAAACCTTTTATCGTTTAGCCCAGCGTTCTCTGCTCATTTCTTATCAGCTTGTGCAAAGTTCACTGCAGTTTTCCTTGGTTGGGGTGCAAACCCTGCTAAAACTGTATGTTCGAAGAGACTGAAACTTGAGGAAGGATTGTATTGGGTTCTCATTTCTTTGGAAGTCTGGAGAACTTAATTAACTTTTCATGCTGCACATTTCATATATTTTACTTGCTTGATACTAGTATTTCTTTTCTAACTTTTTGCCTGGACAAAGAAAACTATTCATTTATTTCCCCTTTCTAGTGCCAAGTTTTTAAAGAAGCTGAACAAAATTCTCAGTCCATTCATGATCTTTCTGCAGAGGCACGTTTTCTGAGGATAGAAAGTGCCATTTTATCCCATTTCTTGGTTTTTGGATCATCTATTACATAAATGTAAAGTAGGATACAACTTATAAGCTGAAGAGTAATTTTAAATATAAGACTAAATGTTACATTTTTAGGCATTTAAGAAATTCCGTGTTTTCTATCCCCTTGCTTTTCTTTATAAATTTACTCTATCTACATGTATCCATCAATGATATATTGTTTTGTTTTGCCCATTTTTGCACTTGGTAAAAATAGAAGCATACTCCGAATTCTTTAAAAATTGTTTTCCTTTAAAGTTATATTTTTGAAGTTAATCCAACTTGATGCATCCAGACATTTTTTACTGCTACATTGCATTCCATTGAATGAATGTGAAAATTCTCCATTCTACTGTTGATGCATTTTGAGTTTTTTCCCATCGTTTGCTGTTATAACCATTCCTGTGATTATCTCTTAGTGTACCTCTGCATGTTTCTCTGGAGTGTACTTAAAGGGGGATTAATGGATCGTGAATATGTTCGACTTTACTAGGTCATGCCAAATTGTGGTAGCACTAATTAATGTCATCACTATCAATTTCTCCATATCCTCACCAATACTTGCTATAATTTTTGTCACTCAATTGGATAGAAAATAGTATCCCATTTGTGACTTTGCTTTGCATTTCTTTTACTTTTTCCTTCTGATGAGGTTGAGCATCTTTACATGTAATCACTGGCCATTTACACTTCCTCATCTATGCAATATTTGTGTCTTTTGCCCATTTTTCTCTGTGTGTGTGTGTGTGTGTGTGTATGTGTGTGTGTGTTTGCACTTTACTGGTATAGTAAAGTCCTTCATACTTTCTGAGTCGTCATCCTTAGTCGGTTATACGTGTTGCAAACTCCACATTTCTTGTTTTTTTCTTCAGCCTATTTCAGTTCATCTGTTCTCTTTTATCTTATCTTTATTGCCCCTCTGTCTGTTCTGTCACAAAATGTGATAAAGGCTGCACATCCAATGCTGTGGAGTAAATACTACCACCTGAGCAATTTGTATGCTTTGGGTACCTGCCAGTATCAAGCAAAACAAGATAATTGTTTAGGGATGTGGTAATCCAGCCTTCTGTTAGCCACAGCTAATCCAGGAAATTATGGCATGGCCCTCATTGCCTTTTCTTAAAAATACTATATTTTTGGGGTTTTTTTGTTATTGTGAAATGATTTTCAGTTTTTTAATTTGAGTATAGTTGACACACAATGTTACATTAGTTTCAGGTGTACAACATAGTGATTCAGCTTCTCTGTATGTTAGCTGTGCTCACCACAAGTGTAGCTACCATCTGTCACCATACAACACTATTACAATATTATTGACTGTATTCTCCCTGCTGTGCCTTTTATTCTCATGACTTATTCATTCCATAACTGGAGGTCTGTATCTCCCACTCCCCTTACCAATTTTGCCATTCCCTAACCCCCTTCCCTTTGGCAACCATCAGTTCTCTGTGTTTATAGGTCTGATTCTGCTTTTTGTTTCTTTGTTTATTCATTTGAGTGAAATCACATGGTATTTGTCTTTCTCAGTCTGATTTACTTATTGTGAAATAATTTTTTAAAATAGCATATGTTATGTTTTTCCATCATGTAAAAAGCAACTAGGTTAGTTAGAGCAGGAATTAACAGTGCAAACTTCAGAGTACAGACTTGACATTTCTATAATTTCCTAAGATTGATTTGTGTAATGCTTTCCTTTATACCTTGAATTCAAAGTTCCTTCCTGCCTCTCCTCATCAACACACATGCACACACACAAACATCCCTCATCCTACACCTCAGTTTTGGAGCGCAGGCTGATGTAATATCTAGTATCTATGTTCCTTGTGGCTCAGAATTACCCTTCTCAAAACAGTAGCCTGTGAAGTCCTTCATCTAAGGCTCTCTCCTAACACATTCACATGGAGATTTTTTACTTCTAAATAATAATTTCTGTTTTACAAACTTATCCATGCTCTTTTTCTCCCAACATTTCCAGACTTCCAATCAATCAGTCATACAAGATTAAATAAATATTTAGAAAAGCCATCAGAAAGCCTGGAGCCTCTGCCATAAAACACATATTCCCTCTTGTTGGGAGGAGATTGGGTCTACAGCTTATGACCATTCTAATCTATATTCATCAAGGTCCAAGTGCCCTTTTTAAAGAGGTTCCACATGGGGCACCTGGGGGGGCTCAGTCATTTAAGCGTCCAATTTCGGGTCAGGTCATGATCTCCTGGTTCATGAGTTCGAGCCCCACATCAGGCTCTGTGCTGACAGCTCAGAGCCTGGAGCCTGCTTCGAATTCTGTGACTCCCTCTCTCTCTGTCCCTCCCCTGCTCGTGTGTGCTCTCTTTCTCTCAAAAATAAATAAACATTTAAAGAATTTTTTTAAAAAGTTCCATATATGCATTTATATGTAAAATGTTAACCTAAGATGAGTGAAATCAAAATGGCAGTTTCCTGTTCTCAAGGAAAGTTACATCAGAACTCTGTATAACTTCCTTTGAAATATGACAATATTACTGTATTTGAAGAGGAGGTGGATTAGGAAGGATTGGTCATCTTCCTAAAATTAGAATATTTGAAGTTGACATGTGATTTATAATTTTGTTAAATATCTTAAATTATAGGCAACTGTATTCTGTTTAACACCATGAGCATTCCATGGCAACCTTCCTTTGTTTAACAGCATCTGGGTCTCTACAACTATCATGGGCCATCACTCTGATTCACTTCCTTTCCTTTTCTATATGTAATTCCTTATCTTGTATCAGGCAGAGTTGGATACCTCTCATGTTATCTGCAGCTTTCTCATTTCCTAATCTGATGAAATCCATAAAACAATTAAATTGTTAAAATGGACCTGAAACTGGAAATGTTGAGTAAAACCTAGCCTTGCCACAACCTTTAGAATGGTTGTTACATTTTGTTTTGGAAGGCTTGTGTCAACATAAACATCTATTGAGACATTATGACTGAAGAGTTATTTTGGATTGAAAATGAACATATAAGCCATTTTTAAGGCTGATTGTGTGATTAATTTTGAAATAATAGCTCCTAAATGTCATACAGTGATGTATATAAATCATTATTTTGATTGAAGGGCTAGATCAGACCTATACAGAGAGCCAGTCTCAAAATGAACAATATTGAAAGATTTCTTAGTCTTATTTTTCTCACCTTTCAATTTCTATATTTGGCCGAAAGGGTATTTAAGAATCTAATAGACAAACTTTAAAGATACTAGGAAGAAAAGTAGTAATAATAATTCTGGATGTAAACTCTTACTTGGAATTTAACCACTATTTGATTTCTAGGAGAGTGGAGGTTAAGGAAATAAGGAAAATTACAAGGAGAAAAGTAGTCCAACCCTTCATGAAAGAACCAACCTTTTGGGACAATTTCCTAGGAAGTCCATATTTTCTTCATGTATTGTGTAATACACATAGAGGTGGCATGATATCTCTGTCTACAGTCTTTTAGTTACTCCAAACTCAGTATGTGCAAAATGTAGCTAGTTCTTGATTTTCCATTTCTGGAAATACCATTCCATTTTCAGTCTTTCCTATCATAGTTACAATCTCGCTGGTTGCACAAAACTAAAACCTGGGAGCTACCCTTATTTATTTTCTGTAGCTCCTTTATTCCTGTTCACGAGCCCAACCTCTCTGGTCTTACTCAGTTTCCTCACTATACAATTAAAATAATACCTTTTTATAGTAACATGTTAGGATATTAAATGAGTTAAGTAAATGTAAAGTCTTAAAACAGTACCTGACATTTAATTAGCACAGTGTAATTGTGGCTACTGCTATTGTTGTTGTTGTTGTTGTTACTTTTTCACCCCCACAAAATCAACACCCTGGTCTAAACCACCATATTCTGTCCTGTGGATCAGTACAATAGCTTTCTGATTTCTGTGTTTCCACTCTTGTTTGGCTACAATCTATTGTCCACACAGCCAGGGCATTCTTTTAAAAACAGATCATGCCATCTCTGCCTGCTTTACACCCTTTAACGCATTCCCTTTGACCCTACAATAAAATTCACACACAGTACTGCATGACCTGGCTCCTGTTTGTTTCACCAGGCTCTCTTGTTATGGTCCGGTCTCCTATCTGTTCCTCATTAGCCAAGTCTCCTTTCCTCAGGTTTTCATATTTGTTGTTCCTCGGCCTGGAATGCTCTTCCTTCAGCTCTTAGAATGTCTGGTTCATTTGCATTTTTCAGGTTCTAGCTCAACTGTCATTTCAGAATCATCTTCCCAGCCTATTCTTTGCCAAATGGCCTCCCCTTTTCTCTCTCATATTACACAGTTCATTTTATTCATGGTTGTTATGGTAGTGTGTAATTATATCATTTGTGTATTTGTTTACTGGTATTTATTTGTTGGTCTCACCAACTAGAATATAATATCTAGAAGAAAGAGACCTTATCTCTTTTACTTCCTTGAAGTGCTAGTCACATAGTACGTGTTGAGAAAATATTTGTCAAATGAATGATAATCTCTGACAAGAAAAGAGAACTTTGCAAAAGGAGAATCTGAAGATCCATTGTTGAAATTTTCTTTTCATTTTGTAATTCTGTGCTAAAGATTACTGTCATTAGTCCCTTCTTGAGAAATTTTCCCGCTTACTTTTTAGACATATATTCCTCCCTAAATAGATTACAGAGAAATTTGTCCATCAATGATCCAAAGAAAAGGTAGGTTGTAATTAGATGTTACCATGAACTTTTAGTTTCTTTCATATAATAAAGGGGTTGAAGTAGCCCTGCTCCAAGGTAATGGTCTGGGTACATACAAGATCTCATGCCCAAATGCTGTAGGCAGCCTCTTTTCTGTCCACTCACATTGGGGAGTGAGCTTGCCTTATGCCACTTGTGGAGCGGGACATTGTCTGGATAGTGGAAGGTTCCCATTCTCCAGCAGAGGGCAGAAACCATGAAGGAATATCCAAAAATGCATTATTAAGAAATAAAAAGTAAAACTCTTTGAGTGGTCTCAGTTTGCGTTTTGTGATTTTTATTTCATTACATGCAAAGATTCAAAATATGCTCTTGCCTGGGGAAGAAAGCTGTTTGTCAACCCTAAGGTAATATTATATGTGGTTCTTTATACTTTTTGAAAGTTATAGACCACCACAATCTCTATCCTGAGAGGAAAAGCAGGAATGTTTCCAGAAAAATTGGTGATTACAACACTAATGGAAAGAGGGTGGCGAGAAGAAGAAAGATTTCGGGTTAGGAGTGAAGAAAGAAAAATACAGCAATTCTTGGCAAAACAGGATATATAGTTTTTTGTTTTGTTTTTTTTCCAGAAACTGTCATAGAATAAAACTTAAATACTCCCCCTATGGGACGCCCTCAGGAAAATCCTCTACAGAGGCTGACACTCCTGACACTGATGTATCTTGATGTTTCCTTCTCACATGGAATTAACAGACTATGACTGTGTTCTTAAAGTATACAAAGGTCTCTTTGAAAAAGCTGCTTTCAAAGAAGTAGCCTAAACATCTATGCTGAGAAAAAATATATTCAGAGTACCTGGAAATTCTCTACTAAAACTTCTTTGTTTAGAAATATATATACATATATTTCTATATATACTTCTATATATTACATACTTCTATAAATTAATTGAAGAGAAAGCCATCTCTTTGAATTCCCAACAAGGCAGAAGAAAGTAATGACAGTTTCTGAGTTAAGAAAATGTAATATGCCCATTCATACCTATCTCCTTATGGCAGAGTAGTTATCTGGTTGATTTCTAAGACTGGCTGTTCACTCCAGGCAAAATCAAATGAATCACCCTACCAAGATCTCAACCAAGAGATCCAAGACTGTTCAGACTATCAAAGAATCCTACCTTCAGAAGAAGGTTGAAAACAACACTGGTAACTGGCTGTTGTTTAGCATTGAATTGATAGGGAATAAAAGGACAATGAAACTTAACTCTTTGGGTCTTGGGACTTTGAAATATACACCTTACCCATTGAAATGAATCTAATATGAGTCCAGCCTCAAAGTGGGGAATCTTCCCTAATTTGGGCAAGCTTTAAGAGTCTCTAACTTGAAATTATGACCATGACCCAGTGTGTATAAATGTTTTATTTTGTATAGCTACCAAAAAAAAACAAAAACAAAAACAAAAACACCATCCATCAGTCCTAGAGAAATCAAACGTCTATTACAGTATGATTCTCTCCATAGCCAAACTAGTGAAGACTACTTGCTTTTTGTTTTGTTCGACTAGCATGGATCTTGATGGCTCTGAACAAGATCTTGAAGTGAAGGAATATTCTCCTGTCTGTGTTGGCAGAGAAGATGACATTAAAAAATCTAAAAGAATGACAGCTGTTGTCCATGATAGAGAAGTGGTCATTTTCTACCACAAAGGAGAATATCATGCGATGGATATTCGCTGTTACCGTAAGAGTTTATTTTTCATTTGTAAACCTTGTATTTGTTTACTAACCACAAAACTATCAAAATTTCAGGTGTTTTTTTTTGTTTTTTTGTTTTTTTGGTTTTTTTTTTTTAGTGACTAGATGTAATATTCAATTCCTTTTCAGACTCAGGAGGGCCTTTACATTTGGGAGAAATAGAGGTATGTAAAATCTATTCTCTACAAATTCACGTTTTATTTATATTGTCTCATTCTGTATGCAAAAAAATTGTATTTGAGTTTGAACTTTTAATGCTTTGAGTATAATTGCTAATATTCTAGGAATTTACAGTCCTACAATGTAGAGAAAACTATTCCACAGATAAATATGAGAAGTATGCATGTCTTCTGACTTAACAATTATACTCTGATATCTACCCTGCAGATATAATTGCACAAATGTTTAAGAATATATAAAGGAGAGGTTTACTGTGGCATTATTTGTCATAATGAAAAATTGAAGGCAACCTAAATGTTTTAACAATAGGAAACAGTTTCAATAAGCTATGAATAGCCATGCTGTGGAAAACTGTGCAGCCACTAAATTAATGAGGCAGATTTTTGTGTTGGTATGGAGGGATGTCAGCAGTATATCTTTGAGCAGAAAAAAGCAAGCCATAGAATAATAGGTCTAATGAGATCCAATTTTTTAAATAAAAAGTAACATTCACTTTTTACTTTTTACTGCACAGTTTGATTTTTTTCGGTGATTATATATTACCTGTATAATGTAGTAAAAATGTGTGTATTTAAAAAAAAAATTTTTTTTAAAAGGCTTATCTGAGGAGGGAATGGGGGAACTGTCTTACTTCCAAACTAGCTAGCTGCCTAATTTGTTTTCTACTTCATAAAACTGATCTGTCTCCCTCCTTCCCTCCCTCTCCTCCCTGAACAGTACAAAATGAATGCTTAAACTTAGTGTTCCACTCTCTCTACACTTCATATCTACCTATTTCCACACCTGTCCTCATGTTAAAGGACATACATTATGAACACGAATGTATGAATTATGAAAATGTGAATGTTTGTTGACAGTTCTGTGGGGGTACAATATCAGCACTCCTGCACTTCTGGTGTAGAGAAAAAGGTAAGCACGTGGTGATGATAATGTGAAAGAATTTCCCTGAGTTTTGGACCTTAATGAGAGCTGTAAGACTTTGCTCCTCCAAGTGTGATCCATAGACCAGCAACACTGGCGTCACCTGGGAGTTTGTTGGAACCACAGACTCTTGTACCCTACCCTAAGCCTACTGAACTTAAACAAGATCCAGGTGATTCCCATGCTGTTTAAAATTTCAGAACCACTGACTTAAGACAGTTAAAAAGTTGAGAATTGACTACTTTGAGTCACAGATCACTCTTCAGTTAACGTATACACTCATGCCTTCAGTAACCTTCTTAAATTTATATTTGAAGCTTACTGTGCTCCCAGCGGCTAGAGGAAATTCCTTTAGAAGCACTTGATGCCCTTGTCCCATTTCTGTCAAGGAAGTGACGTTCACATCTAATACGTAACAGCATAGCTTCAGTCACATGGTGTAGTTGCCTGAGCTCATTTTCTGATACAGTTCTAACACGCTGGGTTTCTAACCAAATGCAAAAGGGACCTGATGACTGCTAAGATTAGGTTCTGCCTTATGCTGAATAATTTGTAAATGGAAGGAAAAAAGAGGAGCTGGCCTGTTCTTTAACCTGGTTATTCTGCAATAGAATCTGTTCTGAGTCTGAGATTTATTGTGAATGTTGGAAATGTCAGACTATTAAATCATTTATTTCCTCCCCCAGGAGTTTGACGGACGACCATGCATAGTTTGCCCCTGGCATAAATACAAAATTACTTTGGCAACAGGAGAAGGACTATACCAGTCTATAAACCCTAGAGATCCATCAGCAAAACCTGAGTGGTGCTCCAAAGGAGTAAAGCAAAGGATTCATACAGTGACAGTGGACAATGGGAACATTTACGTGACTCTTTCTAAAGAACCTTTTAAGTGTGACTCTGATTTTTATGCCACTGGGGACTTCAAAGTAATTCAGAGTTCTTTCTGATAAAATTATATGGCAATGAAAAATGGTGTGTGTGTTTGGAAAATATTTTTAGAATAACTTTGCTTCAATACCAAAGAGGATTAATTTTCCCAAAACAGGCACATTTATTACTTACTTTAAAAAAAATCACATATATCTGAGTAGTTCAAAGTGATGTAAGGATTATTGTTAAGATCTATAGAATACATTTCACCCAATCCTCTGGACTGATTGGAACCTGAAGGTTATAGGTTTGGAATGTGCATTTTCAGGGTGAAAATAATTTGCAGTAACCACATTGAAAAAGGTAAAAATAAGATCTAATAAGAACCATTGGGGAGGGGGGTAATCCTTATTTTGATGCAGTAGACTTTATCTTGGAAAAGTTTTAATATATACAAACTAAACAAAATAGTGTAACAAATTCTCATCACCTAGCTTCAACAATTACCAGCATTCTTCCATTCTTATTTCCGTTCTTATTTCACTGATACCTCCACACACTCCCCATCTCCCCTATTTATTATTCTTACTTTTTAAAAGTAAAATTTAAATACACTGAAATACTTAAATCTCAACTATTCAATATTTCTAAATACATAGCAGACTTTTTATACTTTAAAAATGTCTCCAAAATGGGGTTGATTTACATGCTTCATTTAAAAATAAGAAACTTATTCAACACTTACATACAACACCTGGTGCTTGTCACAAGTGCACTCCTTAATCCTCATGTACTGCGCATTGAAACCACATAAGTCTTGGCTCATTTTCTCTCTGGTCAAGGCAGACACTCCTAAAGTAAGGAAGATACACACAGCTGCTTCCCAGACATGAAGGACGTGAAGTCTCTTACTCAGTGAGCCAAAGTACTGGGAGTGCCTAGATGAAATTGTCAAATAAAGGTGTTCCTTCTTTTTTCAGAATTTCGTGATGTGTGTAGAACTAAGCATTCCGTGTAAATGTTACAGAGAAGAGATATAGGATGTTCTTCCTCGGAGTCCTTTCTGCTGAGTTCACAGGCAGGGTTGATGTTAAATTGGTCCACCCTGTTTTTAAATTCCAGTTATTTATGGCCAACACTATTCTGGTTGCCTCGTGCCACACTGTACCAGAACACTCTGGGTGCTTATCATCTAAAATGCGGCAGCATATAGTAGAATATAAGAATAAGAAGGACCAGAACCAGGATGAACAGATTATGAATTCAGAGAATTCTGTGAGAAAAGCTGTTTGTCAAAATTGGAACTTTGTCTCAAAAGCACAGTAATCTTCTTAGTGGCACAGGATTGAATTAAGGCTCCAAACATAATACTTAACATTCTAAGGGGGCCACCTGGACTCTTTCCCTTGGTTATTGTAAAAATAATAAGTGACTAAAATACTTATCATTAAGGGTCTGCTTACAGAGCCCTTTGCTACATATTACATTTCCTTTTCTGATGGAATATGGGTAACATGAGGTAATATAACACTTGTTACTCATTTCTCAGACTACTAAAAAGCCAGGGCTGGACTTTTTGTAAATATTGTTCATGGCAGTAGCTATTTACCAGGTACAGGAAATGTATGTACCATCACTGGATGGGTACATCTTCGCCTATTATATCAGGTGCTGATCCTCCAATGACCAGTCAGGTCTTAACATGTGTCCAGAATTTAAAACACATGGAAGAAACCTAAGTACCTTCTGCAGGCAAAACAGTGGCCCTCATTTGCAGGACCAGTTACAGAAGCATTCTCTCTCAGAAGCCAGTGGCAACAATGAGTAACATTAACTTGATTTCTGGTTCTAAATTTGTCCCTCTAAATCTGGAAATAAAAAATATCATATTCTATCCTTACATACAGAAATCTTCTGTAAGATTTCGAAACAATATTGTGTTTTATAAATTTATTATACGTGACTTACAACTCCTACCGATGAGTTATAAAAGGATTGATAACAGGCAGTTTCAAACTATGCAGCCTGTATATAGAAAAAAAAAAATCCCTATTATCTCTGAAAAAGTAATGTATCATTTTGATACAGAGTGTGTTTTCCCTCCAGATAAATACAGTTGATCCTTGAACAATGCAGGGGATGGGGGTACCATCCCCCTCACAGTCAAAATTCTACATAAAACTTTGGACTCCCCCAAAACTTAACTACTAATAGTCTACTGTTAACCAGAAGCCTGACTGATTACATACAGTCAATTAACACACTTTTTGAATATGTATCATACACTGTATTCTTAAAGTAAGCTAGAGAAAATATTAAAATCATAAGGAAGAGAATATACATTTACAGTACTATAATGTATTTATTTAAAAAGATCTGCATATAAGTAGGTTTGCATAGTTAAAACCCATGTTCAAGGGCCAACTGTAATTGGAAAGATACTTTAAACAAATCAGTAATAAAAACATAAATGCATTATAAATATACCCATGTTATAAACCATAGCATAAAGTCTAACCCTCCAAAGGGTACATTTTCTTGTTCATTAAAAAATATCATAGGGGCGCCTGGGTGGCGCAGTCGGTTAAGCGTCCGACTTCAGCCAGGTCACGATCTCGCGGTCCGTGAGTTCGAGCCCCGCGTCGGGCTCTGGGCTGATGGCTCAGAGCCTGGAGCCTGTTTCCGATTCTGTGTCTCCCTCTCTCTCTGCCCCTCCCCCATTCATGCTCTGTCTCTCTCTGTCCCAAAAATAAAAACATAAAAAATGTTGAAAAAAAAAATTTATATAAAAAAAAAAAATATCATATAGGGGCACCTGGGTGGCTCAGTCGGTTAAGCATCTGACTCTTGATTTTGGTTCAGGTCATGATCTCACATCTCATAAGTTTGAGCCCTATGTTAGGCTCTGCGTTGACAGCACGCAGCCTGCTTGGGATTTTCTCCCTCTCTGTCTGCCCCTTATTCATGTATGTGCACGTGCTTGCTCGCTCACTCTCTCTCTCTCTCTCTCTCTGAAAATATATAAATAAACTTTAAAATCATAGTCATACATAAATTCTACATCAAGATTCATTTTATTTTCTCCACTATATAAGTACTTGAGAATGACATTTTAGTAGTTCCCTACCCCTTTTCTAAAGCAGAGCATTAGTATATGAAAACTAGTTTCTTAGTTTTGTCAGTTGAAATGTGATTAGATAGATAGCTCTTAAGCTCCACTCAATGATATTTATGTTCAGATTTGCTCATTCATTCATTTCAGTGCATTGGTCAAACACAGAATGTAAAACCTGGATCTTGTTACTCAACTTATTGGCAAGAAGTTTGGAGCAATCCGAAATACTGTCTGGTTTCTCCGGTAATGACCTGTAAGGTTTTGCTTTGATTTCACCTTCATCAAACGTAGGTTCAGAAAGCACAGGCTCTGAAAAGGCTTTTCTAAGATTTTCACTCTCCTTTCTGTTTTGCCTTATGGATTCTTCTTCTTGGAAAATTTTCTTTACCTTCTCCAGCACAGCATTAACACAGACTGTCTAATAATAAAAAAATGTGTTTGAAAAGTAAAGTTTCTTCTTAAGCTACTGAACTTTCCACTAACAAATCCAATAAAATATTTAACATAAAGCCATTAATCTACTTAATTCTAATAAAGAAGCGCTTCCTTTCCTGGCACATGATAAACATTTAGAGATTGCTTCCTTGTTCTAAATATATTACATCATAAGCTAGAAAGAAAATTAAAGCCTGGTATACTTCAGTAAAGACAAGCTTTCCCTCTTTTCCCTTCAATTCATTAGTTGTCTTACATCTTTACTCCCTGATTTAATTAAACTCTTTCATTCTCCTGAATTAAATGAAACATTTTCTGGGAGATGAAATTTGTCACCAAACATGTTAACATCTCAAAGTAGGTTTTTGTTTTTAATTTTTCCCCCTAGACTTTGCTTATACCTATGTGTACAATTGGAAGGGCATTAACATTTTAGAAAGAATTTAGTAACCCAGTGGAGCAATGATTTCTAAACAAACACACGATCCATTTTCCCTCCAAAAAAAAAAAAAAAATGCCATTCAGTACTTTAAGAGTGTCAAAACAAAACACATAGAGAAATATAACTTTGAAAATTGAGAACCACTAAGAACTATATCCAGTAAACTTATTCTGTAAGTTTACTAATGAAGATGATGATGCCTAGTGTTTAAGACAAGTAACAAGAATAATGAAATCCACAAATATGAGAATACCTAACCAGCTTATTTTACCAAAGCGATGCCTAAAGCTGACATAACAGGAAATAAACACTTTGAAGATTTTCCTAAAGAGGGTAATGGAGAAAAGATCAAGGGCCTTAGATTGACAAGTTCTTCCTGACCTCCTGCCTCCTCCTCTCTTGGCCTGCATCCCACTGATGCTTTCCTTCACTTTCGTGTAGTTAGTATGTAGTCACCTGACCCTGTTCTAGCCAAAAAATAAAATAAAATATGTCTGCTGGGGGAAGGTCAGGAGGGATTTTTGGAAGTTTTTCTCCTATATAAAAAGGAAGGCTCTTCATCTTTTCCTCCTAATTTGGACAATGATATAGATAGGATGCCTGACCATGAGGTGACAAACCTAAGGATCAAAAACAACAAACAAGGTAGCAGAAGAGAAAAATGGAAAGGCCCTGGGTTCATGATGACATTGTAGATCCACCATACAAACCTGGGAACCACCTAACTCTAGACTTCTAATTAACTGAGATATTTAAATGTCTTCATTGATGAAGGCCCTGGCAGCTATTTTTTGTTACATGCATACAAGTATATCCCAACCAGGACCTATAAAATTTTGAGGTCCGTCACTTTCAGCTGCAAACAGCTTCATTCATTTATCCCCATATGTGATCATTTTCTATGCCGTGCTGTGAAAGAAGATTAGGAAGCCCTGTCCTATTTGATGTGTTTCTTCTTCCCTCATCTACAAAATTTTATCTGTGCCCATTATAACCACTTCTACCCCAGTCTCCGAAAATGAAGGGTCTTGATCAAGATCAGTATCTATGTTTCTTTTTTTTTTTTTTTTAATTTTTTTTTTTAATTTTTTTTTTTCAACGTTTATTTATTTTTGGGACAGAGAGAGACAGAGCATGAACGGGGGAGGGGCAGAGAGAGAGGGAGACACAGAATCGGAAACAGGCTCCAGGCTCTGAGCCATCAGCCCAGAGCCTGACGCGGGGCTCGAACTCACGGACCGTGAGATCGTGACCTGGCTGAAGTCGGACGCCTAACCGACTGCGCCACCCAGGTGCCCCTCTATGTTTCTTTTTAACCTATAGCCTACCTGTTCTCTATTAATAATCCCCTGCCTTTTCAGCCTCTCGTTCTTGACTGGCTCTTCCCCTGCAACTTAGAATGTGCTCCACTATCTTCCATCTTAAAATTAAACATTAAAAACCCCTGGCACCCTGTTTCCCTCTTGATTGCTATATATTGCTATATATGCTGGCTTTTCTTGATCAAACCAGAGTCTCTATTCATGGCCTCCATTGTACCATCTCCTCTTCACTCTGAAACCAGCTTATTCCTGTCCTCCTTATCCTGTCGCATCACTGAAATAGTTCTCAAGATGGTTGGCTCCAACATCTTTTGTACTAGATCTAGACACTTTTCACAACTTTATTTTACTTGACTTTTTCTGTTTGTATTTGACACCTAACTGCCCACAACTTCCTGAGTCTCTATTTCCTTGACACTTTTTCTCCTGATTCTCTTCCTACTTTTCTGATTATTCCTTTTTTGTCTCCTTCACAGATTTGCTCTTAGCTCACCGTAAATGTTGCTATTTTTCACATTTCTTTTGACTTTCCATTTCCAGACTTTTCACTTTTTCCACTGTGGTTCCATACACAGGGCATTAACTTCCAACATGTATGTTGTTTGATTTCAAAATCATAACTCCAGCCCTGGCCTCTCCTAGACGTTGGGTTGGATACATGACCAATCATCAGGTCCCCCAAAATACTGTTTCTTTTACCTACTTAGAAAATTTGTAGCATGACAAGTCATGTGGGATGATTTCAAAAGCCTTTGAGAAATTAGAGTTTAATTTTGGTGTTAGTCTAATTTGTTTTAGTTTTACCATATCTATTTCATTCCACCCATTTTTTGCAGCATTTTTGCATTCTAGCTCAGTTGGATGTCATTTTTGCATGAGATTCACATTTAAGATATTGAGCATTTCTCAAAAGTTTTAAATGCTTGTAAAATATTTATAAGTTCAGTTATTTAAAAAAAAACTATGAATATGTTTAAAAGTCCTTTTACTTTTTTTTTTTTCAATGATGTCTTGGCTCTTCTTGACCTTTTTCATTCCCCTCTAAATTTTAGAATAAAATAGTCAACTTACACACCTGCTGATATTTAAATTGGGACTACAATGAATCTATAGATTATGGGAAAAACTGAATCTTTAGTATTGTGTGTTTCAATCTGATAAAAAATATTAACAAAAATATATAAGATCTTGAACAACAACAAAAAACCCATAAGAATTATTGAGAAATTAAAGAAGACCTAAACAAATAGAGGGATAGACCATGTACAAGGATTGAAGGGAGGACTTATTCTACTAGTTATCAAGACTTATAAAGCTCTTGTAAATAATACAATATTGAATCTAAGAATAGAAAAATAGATCAACTGAATAGAACAGAGAGTCTATAAACAGACCTGCATATATAAGGGAACTTGATATATGACAAAAGAAGTATTCTGGGGCAATAGGAAAAGTACCCCCCCCCCATAAATTGAGTTGGATCAGTTGGATACCCATGAAGGAAAAATTTGTTCCTTACCTGATACCAATTCCAGATGGATTATAAATCTGAAAGTGAAAGGTAAAATAAAAAAGTTCCCAGAATATATCAGGAGGAATAGTTTCATGACTTTGGGTATAGGTCAAGATTCCCTAATTAAGACATAAAAAGCACTTAACATAAAGAAAAGATTAATACCTTGAACTACATTCAAATTAAAAACTTCTGTTTTAAAGACACTGCTAAAAGAGTGAAAAGGAAGTCATTGAATAAAAGAAATAACCAAAAGAGGGTTTATTCCTAGAATATATTTTTAAAGTACAAATCAATAATAAAAAGATAGAACAGAAAAATAGAAGACTTTAACAGAAATTCACAAAAGAGGATATCCAAATGTCCACTTAGTGCATAAAAATGAACTCAATCTCATTAACAATCAAGGAAATGCAAACTAAAGCCACAATGTGATAATACTACATATCCACAAGAATCGCTAAAATGGAAAAGAGTGACAATACCGACTGTTTGGCAGTATCTGCTAGACATGAACATGTGCATATTCTGGTGGTCCAGTAATTTTACCAAAACATATGCACAAGAATATTCATAGAAACCATATTCACAATGGCCAAAACTACAAGTAATATAAAATATATAATAATAGTATATATTATGTAACATATTATAATTATATATTTATATTATTAATATATTTATGTAATATATAAATATAACGTTATGTTTATATAATATAAACTATATATTATAGTTATAATATATATTGTTATATATTATATTATAATGCTATATAATATTAAATTCATATATTATATAAAATACATCATGTTATATTATTATAATATTATATTTATATAGTAATATACAATTTAAACCACAAAATGGATAGTGGCACATATATTGAATACATATATGTTCTATATATATACACACATATATATATATTTCAACAAATGGAATAATACACAGCAATGAAAATCAACAAACTACTACTATACACAATAAATCTCATAATGATAATGTTGAGCAAAAAAGGACAAATATAAAAGAATATGTAGTATATTATTTCACTTATATACAATTTACAGAAAACTGTCTTTAGTGTTAGAAGTCAAAATAATGGTTACTTTTATATAAGAGGCAAGTGATTTGTGAGGGGAACAAGAAAGAAGCTTCTAGAATGATGATTACATTTTGTTTCTCAATGTGTGTTTGGTAGGTAGATTAATAGCTTTTGTGAGAATTCATCAAGCTGTGTAGTTTTCTGTCTTTGTGTGTTATACTTTTTTTAAAAAAAAATTTAAAGATAAGTATAAATGGCAATGATTAAAAGAAAATAACCCCTTATAATTTATAAAACCCTTTATAGTTTTGTCACACTTTGTAATGAACACTTTTGAATTACAACACTTGTAATTCAAAATACACTAATATTTGTATTCCCTATATCATGGACCTAATTGATGGAATGCTGAACTTTAGCCAACCATGGCACAATGGCTGAAACAAAACCATAGCTAAGTGAAAGTAAAACCAAAACATTTTGAACAAATCATAATAAACATTATAAAAATAATTTTAGTTATTTAAGCAAATTAGTTTTTGGTGAATTGACTTGGGTCAGAAATGGGTTGACTTTACCTCAGAAAAGTAATTTTATTTTAGAAGAGTAAATTTTTAATGTAAAATTGTGTAACAAGAGAATAGTACCTTGGTTTATGAATTTATAATATATATCTATATCTTTAACATACATGAAATAAGTATATTTATATCTAGATTGTAATAATTTTCTTAACTCACCAAATAAATTAGTGCTGCATATGAAGCATACATGATGCTAGTTAAAGCAGTCTTTGCTGGAAAAGAAATGATTTCGAACAAAGAACCCCTTCTGACCTGCAAAAACAGAAGAGTTTTCTTATTATAATAAAAGTTTTCAGTATTACAATGTTAAATTTTACCATGTTATTGTAAAATGAGAATTTCAATATTTCTTTCCAAAAAAAGTTATCTACTGGATCTATCTGGGTTTTTTTCACATTCAGAAAATATTTTGGTTTATTTTTCTCTTTGTTTTTTTTTTTTTTTTTTTACAAAAAGGTACTTTCTTTTGCTATGACAGATCTATAAAAACCTTTGAAAGATCTATAAAAAACCTTGCATTTCTAAAATCTAAATTACTTTAACTTTTTTACATTTAACAAGTGTGCTCACTAGGGGGTGCCACTGTGCATGTTGTTAGAAAAACAGTCTTTTCTTTGTTCAAATTCATGTAATCATCCTTTACTAAATTATTCACCTCTTCATTAGGCAAGCAGCAATTGAAATACTAAGGATTTCCTGCAGATTAATGACCTGCTTGGAAATGTTAATCATGAGACTGCTGAAGGCCAGCATTAACCTTAGATGAACATTAAGCTTCAGGGAATGCTCTGTGCTCACATCCAGCATGCATTTTGAAACAGAGGTTTACACCAATAACGAATTTGTCTCTCAGATGTTTCTAGCTTCAGGTGGTAGCTGTCCCTGCCTCAAACATAACAGAATATATTTAGTTTAAGGGAACTGTAGTCTCTTCTCGGTCACCTCTGTTGCCTTGAGTAGGATATGAAATGAGGACATTAGGAAAAACATTCCTTTCCCATTCAGCAGTGTAGTGGCAGTTAGCCATGCTCCTCTGAGGTAAGTGCCAAGACACTCAGTGGCTTCAGTAACTCCCAAAGGTACAGGCTGTAGCTAATAAAATCGTGTAAATACACAGTAAAAATGCATACAAACTAGAAAGAACAGCATGTATGTGTATGTTATTTAAAACATTGAAAAACTGGAACAATTGATAGCAGGACGGTTAGGTAAAATAAGCTGTATCTACTTAATGGCATATTATAGCCTTTTAAAAGGTGCTTCTGAAGGATGCGTAATACCACTTTGTTGAACAAACATTTGTATGGCACTGTGTTCTATCTAAGTGCTTGTAGTATCTTCAGTTTTTGCTTACTGCTACCACTGCGGAATGAAGAACAAAATTGCCCATCACAATTTACCTTCCTCTCTCCCTTAAGTGATTTATGGAATGCTGACGCCAAGAACATTCTCTAGCCTACTTCTAGCCTACTAGTTGAGAGATGGAGGTGGGAGTGGTGGGGAGGAGTTCCTTCTCCTTCCTTGTTTTCCAGGCCCGTACTAACTCCTAAATACAGAGACAGGTAGGGGGAGTTTTAGCCCACACTCCGTAAGTCAGTCTGGAAAACTTCCCAGAGTTCCTGGCTTCTGGAAAGAGTTTCCAGGAAACAAAGCAGCTGCTGCTCTTTCCCTCTTGCTAGAAGAATCAAATTGATAGTGTGCCTTTGAATCCCACTATTAGGCTACAGGGAGACAAACATACAAGTAGAGAGCTGATGTTAGGAAAGAAAACAGATACACTCCAACAAAATGCCTCCTGGCAGAGTAAAAGATTCATGAGTACAGTGGGGGGGGGGGGGGTCCATATTCAATAATTCGTAGGCCATATACAATAAAAGTAAAAGTGGCATCTGCATGCATGAGAAATTATCGTTTCTATTTTTTTCCAGATTTTTGTCCTTCACCTAAAGTAATTAAAACTGATTACTTTTCAAAGTTTCAAAATAGATTCTATATCTGATATACGTTATGCTTCTGAATGATGAATCTGTATATTGCTTGAGTTAGTTTTTCATCCTTTTAATGCTTTTGATAAATACTTGCTATTCCCGTAACAAATCATTCCTGTGGAAAACACATTTCATCCAAAATTTATGTGGCTACTGGCAGGTAGCCATTTTTCAATTTTATGATCCACTTCCAATACATGTTTTTCATATATAAACCATGCTGTTTCCTTTTTGGCTTGTTCTAAGCAGGAATAGAGTATGATAAAACAAATAAACAGGAGACCTTTCTATATCAAAGGTTTTATTTAGATTACCTCAGCCATTTAAAAAAAATTTATCCTAACTTATTGTATTAGTTTTATTTGCAAATTTGAAAGCATCTTGATATCAGTATTATGGCCATATATTTGTTTGAACTTTTAATATTAATGTTAATATGTGTGTAAGATATTTGGATATATAAGATATGTGGATAGGTTATATGGTCATACTAACATATCAGATACATGGATATTTCAACAGTAAAAACATTTCGATGTTTAATGAAATTTTGCCACATAACTTTGCCTCATCTCATTAAAGGAGTATCTGTGATTATCTTATTTTCAGTCATACTGAGATAAATCACAAAAACGCAAACAGTAAATAGTTTAGAAAATAATAAAGATCCACTTATAGATGACCTGAAGGATAAAGAACCACCAGGCCCAACTTAGTTTATGTTGCTCAAAACCACCTTGAAGAAGGATGTCCAGGGAGTAATGGGGGGAAACTTGAACTCCATGATTCACAAGTAAGTGTTGCAAGAAGCACTGACGGGTTAATAGGTCCAGAAAAAAAGTCTTTCCTGTAAGTTTGGAAAAGCTACATGACCATGTCTTTGCTTGAGTAAAACACAGTATTCATGAGCACGGGGAAGCCTCCTAGCAGTGCACAGTAAAAAAAGCTATTTGACTTCGTTTACCCAGTATTAATATCCTCTGTAACATTGTTTTTGAATAAGATCTTACATAGTCCTATTAAAGCTCAAATGTCCCAACCTCTGGAGAAGTATGTCTTCAAGATTCCAAGTAGTCTGCTTTCCAGGAATTGTCCTTTCTCCTCAGGTCTTGAATTATACCACCCAAGATTACCCCATAGGCTCACTGAAGACCTGTAGAGATTCTTGATATTTTTGAGGTTCACACATATTTGTTACACAGAATATGTGAAGTTTGAATTTAACCCCCAAACTGAAGTCTACCTTGAAGGGTTGGGGATGAGGAAAAAACTATACTTAGAAAAGTGTCTGATCTTCATTCTGAAAAAGGGAACACAAGTTCACTTGGATCCACATATATCACAGGCATTTTAGATGCCGCGGGTTTTCTTCCCCTTTGCCTGTATCTTGCCTACACCACTTCACAGTGCCTACACATCATCTCTTAATGCCACTATAAGGAAGATTCTATCATAGGAAGAGCTCCTGGTCCTGTGGCCCTGCACTGCCCTGCCAAAGTCAACAACTATGTCTGGGAACTGACGTGTCTTGGCTGGAGTCAGCATTGAAGCTGATTATCTAGGTCACTGCAGCCTAAAGTAGCTGCAAGTTTTACTCATCCAGACAGCTTACAAGGCTAAGCAGATGCACCATTCCATAAGTACTGATGCTAGGGATGTTGAAAACTACCAAGAAATATCTAACCAGAGTTTTCCATTCCGGAGGCCCTTTTAGGACTAGCAGATATCTTGCTATAATCTCAACCCTGCATAACCTGGAAGGATTTGAGGAGCAACTTGACTCAGCACCCCACCCATAAAGACAGGTGCAAAGGAAGTCTCTTTCAACAAGATGGCCAGCTGGAGAAGGCAGACTTGAACTATGTGCTCATGTTACAAAAGCCATTGGGATCTCTTCAGGTCACTTGCATCAATTGGGTCTTTGGATAGTTCATATTGGGCTCAATATCTTTGAATATGTTAACATATATAAGACTTACTCTAGGTCTGAGCACAGAACCAGAAAGTCAAGGGAGCTCCTGTAACAACATTCATGCTCTAGTTATCTTGAGGAGACTATTACTGTATGCTTCATCCCAGACCACATCAGAAGGCTGAAATACTATCCTAGTCATAGTCAGTGTCCTAATGAAAAAATGCTTCTCTATTATGTGTTCTTGAAGGAGTAATCTGACTGGCATTCCCAGCTACATAATATCCAACAAGAGTATTGGTAGAACCATTTAAGGTGCTCTATGTACAAAAATATCTTTCTATCATTAATTATCCTCAGATCAGTGACAAAACAGAGCACATAAAGAGGATCTTTAACACACACTTTCAGATTATCTAGTCTGCTTATCTTCCTACATAAAATGATGTCCTCCATGCATCAACAAGCATATCCCCTTGCATAGCAATTCCAGATTTCACTCCTTTTACTTCTCTGCACACCAGGAAGTTCTACCTTGACACAGGCAGCCTGGCAATCCTTGAAGGAATTCATGCTGGAATCCACTCTGGGTAAGCTAAACTCTGTCACTGTGGACAGACAACCAAGCAATGTATATACCAGGGCTGGTGTAACTCACTCGTACCTCTCTGGTACACTGACACCATGGATATACTCCATTCCCAGACCAATCCATTGACCTCCATCACACTTCTTGCATTACTCTGTTGTTACTTTCACTCTCTAGGCCATTGTCTTCACTATTCATACTTCTATTCTCTCCTCACTGAGACTTTTATATTTGAGATATGTTGTTTTCTTGCTTGTTACAACTTAATTTCCTCTCAGCAGCAATTCTGATTCTCCACCCTAACTAATACATATTATTGAAGTATAGCTTATTCCTCATTCCTAACCCTCGAGGACCCTGGAATCTCTGACCGAAGGCTGTTCCCACTTGTCTCACTCTTGCGATGTGGAACTTCTTACCTTTCCTAAATAAGTCATGTTCTCTCTCACCTTAGCATCTTACTATACGATGTTCACTTCTGGGAATAATTCTCCTAGTTCTTCACTTGCTTAATATCTCCTCCCTCAAGATCTGGTATTATCTTCTCGAAAGCCTGCACCAACTACTCTTTGGAATTACATGCTCCTTGTTGCCGCTTCCAGAGTACACTTTGCACTCTCTGATTATGCACTTACTACACTCCACTGACACTGCTTATTTGCCTATCGTCCCCACAGTCCATATAGGGCAAAGGCAAGACATCTATGAATCCTAGTATCTAAACTAGTGATCTTACATGTCGATTTTCAATAAATATGTGTTGAATAAATGGAAAAAGTAGAATAATAATTCACTTACTTCCAGAAAGAAATTTAATGGTCTTCTATTAAAACTCATAAAAAAGATACTAAGCAAAGCTGAAGGATATCTGGTTCTAGTAGTATGGCAGACTGAGCTAATGTGGAACTCCCTCCCCTTCCCCCACATACCTAGAAATTTTATATAAAATCAAACTCCAAAATGTAATACAAGACTGCATTTGGAAAAAAAAAAGAAAAGAAAAAAATAAGGAAGGAAGGGAGGAAGGGAGGGGAAGAAAGAAAGAAAGAAAGAAAGAAAGAAAGAAAGAAAGAAAGAAAGAAAGAAAGAAAGATTGATTCCTGGAGTGCCTGGGTGGCTCAGTTGGTTTAGCATCTGACTTGATTTTGGTTCGAGTCATGATCTCATGGTTCATGGGATGGAGCCCCGCATCAGGCTCTGTGCTGGTGGTGCAGAGCCTGCTAGGGATTCTCTCTCCCTCTCTCTCTCTCTGCCCCTCCCCCTCATGTTCTTTCTCCCTCTCTCTCTCTCTCTCTCTCAAAGAAATAAACATTTTTTTTTTTTTAAGAAAGATTCCCTGTGCTAGGAACGAAAAGGTGGAGCAGTAAGTGTGTGAGTATATTGCCCAGCAGGTATGAAAAAGAGGTAAGTGAAAGGAAAATATGAGGAAGGTAAATAGACATAAAGAATAAAATGAAAATGTCCAAGGTATATTGAATAGATATTCCAGAATAAGAGATTAGAGAAAATGAGAAAGAGGCAATATTTGAACAAACAATAGCTAAGAATTTTCTAGAATTGAAGAAATTATCCTCAGATTCAAGAATCACTATGATTCACAAGGGAAAAGCATTTTGACAACAGCTAATACAATTGAAGATGTGCATCCCTCATAACCCAGTAATGCCTCTTCCAGATGTACCCTTGGAGAGCATCTTACACACATGGATAAGGAGCCATTTACAAGAGTGTTCATTGAAATACTGTTTGTAATAAAAACAGTTGTGGGATACCACAAACAAAATAAAATAATAAACCATAGCTATTCATATAAAAAATGTTGAGTACAGGTGCCTAAATGGCTCAGTCATTTCAGTGTTTGGCTCTTGATTTTGGTTCAGGTCATGATCTCATGGTTCGTGAGATTGAGCCCTCTGCTGTCAGCACAGAGCCTGCTTGGTATTCTCTCTCTCTCCCTCTCTCTGCCCCTCCCCCACTCGCTCACACGCACGCTCTCTCTCAAAATAAACGTTTGAAAAAAATGTTGAGTGAAAAAAGAAAGTTACAGAAGGATGAGTATAGTATATCATTTATATAAATTTTAAATATATGAAGAATAATAGATTGTACAAATGTAGTGAAAATATGAAAGTATGCATAGAAATGCTCACATCAACTTCAGGATAATGATTTCCTTTGGTAGAGAAAAAATGGGGAATGGATTGGGACATAGTTAATTATATTTCTTTTTATAGAGGAGATATCTGAAGGTAACATTGCAAAATATTACTACCAATTTAAATTTGGATAGGACTTCTGATAAACTACCTTTTATATGTTTTTTTTTTTAATTTTTTTTTTCAACGTTTATTTATTTTTGGGACAGAGAGAGACAGAGCATGAACGGGGCAGGGGCAGAGAGAGAGGGAGACACAGAATCAGAAACAGGCTCCAGGCTCTGAGCCATCAGCCCAGAGCCCGACGCGGGGCTCGAACTCCCAGACCGCGAGATTGTGACCTGGCTGAAGTCGGACGCTTAACCAACTGCACCACCCAGGCGCCCCAATATATGTTTTGAAATATTTTATCAGTAAGAATTTTAAAAATTAATGCTATATTCTAAGACAATTAGAACAAGAGCAAAGGAGAAGAAATTTCATAGGTGTTGATTTTGAAATGATGTCAAAGAGACTGTCACAGTCAGCATATGGACCTTGGACAGGTCATTTACTCCATCACCCTGCTTCTCTCACTTCAGGTTCTTGGAATAAGTTATCACAACTAAGCTCTAAATTTACCTGTGAAATTCACTGTCAGGGCAAAAAGGCAAATGTGTGATGTTTCTTAGTTCTTATGACTAGATAAAAGGAAACACAAATTCAACTAGAAAGATAGATTATTTTCCTGCCATTGAATCTTCATGAGTATTGGAAGACAATTCTTCCATGGATGTCTCTCATTCCTGTACAGATTGGACCTTCTGAACAAAGCACATGTTTGAATAGGAAACAGTTTTTGAAGCTAGAGAAAATATGTTACTCTGGAGGGATTTAGAGATGTACTTCCCAAGAGCCTTCAACTTCCCCCTCTGGAGACATTTGCTTCTCTCCCCAAACCTCTCTGTCTTTCTCTCCCTTCCCACCCCTCCTCCCAAGGCTGGGCAGATACACCAACATCCTTTTTTTTTTTTTTTTAAGTTTATTTATTTATTTTGAGAGAGAGAGAGAAAGTGCAAGCATGGGAGGGGCAGAGAGAGAGGGAGAGACAGAGAATCCCAAGCAGCCTCTGCATGGGGCTCAAACCCACCAACTGTGATATCACAACCCCAAAACCAAGATTTGGACGCCTAATTGACTGAGCCACTCAGGTGCCCCACCAACACTCCTATAAAAGCTGAGTCTCCTAATTTCAGGCTCCTCTCCTGTGATGCAACTCACTATATGCATAGGTATCATGTGGCTCTCATCACATTGTCCTGAGGGAACGGAGGGGGTATGGGAATGACACAAGACATTGCTCTGGCTGCTGCTTTTGCAGTAGACAATAAACAATCTCTGTCCCTGATTCAAGGGAGTCTTGTGTGTCTGTCAGTCGGTCAGTGTGTGTGCGTGTGTGTGTGTGTGTGTGTGTGTGTGTGTGTATACCTGTGGCAGGCTAATTTGTTAGTTTCAAAAGAGTGTAAAATCACAGATTCTTCTTCAGTTCTAACTTACCAAAGAGGAGCAAAAAGAAAGATTAAATAACATGATGGATAGTGTCTTTAAATGTGATTTCATAATAAATACAGAAATATTCTTCAAAGAACACTTATGTCAATTATACAGCTCAGCGACATTTCTTTCTGACAACCTAAAGATACAGGAATACTTAGAGAAACCAGTAGTTAACAAACAAAGCATTTTTTACTTTCTCAAACATCAGGTATTATAAGGGAGCTTTTTATAATTGCTATCTCAAGCAATTCATAATTGAACTATCCAGTTATTTCTGAAAATGTTAAAATCTTTGATTAAAGAGAGATTCCTATGTAATGGATATTGTGTTGATTCTAACAATCCATCATCCATTTGCTCGCTCATCTTTTCAAAAGAGCCCAAATTTTGTTTGATGATTCATCCTTTCCCCCATTCTCTGGTCATGTGATCTGGATGGAGCTCCAACCTCCACTGCAGAGAAAAAATAGGCAATCAAGTCCTAGGCCAGTCAGTGCATCCCATTTCCCTGGTTTAGAGGTAAGCCCACCTCCAAGAGTGAAACTCAGGACTTGTCCAGGAATGCTGGGTCAAGAACTTTCATTCTTTGCTGCTCTAATTGAACCTGGAAGGATGGGAGTTCTGGGAAAGCTGCAAATCACCTTGTAGCCAGGAAGGGAAAAGTCAGTCCGGGAATGGAGTCTACACAGAGGAAGCAGAGCCAGGAGATGGGGGAAAAGAGAAAAACAGGACCCTGAAGGCATCACTTGAGCACCTATATATATCCTGAAGCCTCATCTACTCTGGATTGCTCAACTATGTAAACTAATACATCTTTCTGGCTTAAATCCGTTTGAGTGAGAGTTTTTCTCCCTTCAACAACAGAGTCAAAATGACCCACTCTGGGGTTTAGGTACCAGACTTGCAGGATTCCAAATCTTTTGTAGCAAACATTTAGAATGCTTTGAATAATGCCCAGATGGAAAAACTCAGAGTTCTACCCCATAAAGTTTAGAAAAAAGGAAACTGGTCCTGAAAAAGTTTTAAGAGCTGCTATTCTTAATGAAATATAACAGACCCTCAACAAAACCATGTAGAACATGTAATTTGAAATATACTTGGATGTTGATGGGTCTATCAAAATGAGTTTATAGTTGAATGTACTCAAATATGTTAAGTCAAACAAAGACTTTCTTGGAAACATAGCAAGGTTATGAGGAAAAAGGAACAAAATTATTTTTAAGGCTTGTTATACGATTAGTTTTAGGTTTGCTATAAGTGGTAATTTGTATGCTAATATTTAGGTTGAACCATCTAAAATTTACAGTTTCATATATTTAAGTCACGTAACAAAGTAGGAAAAAAGTCCTCATTACTTCCTCTTTCAGATTTACTTTAACCAGAATATATATGCCATATTGGAAAAAGGCCAAACCATTCATTTCTTATCCAAATATTCATGTTTTACATGTAGGACAACCAAATGTGCTACATTTTCATTTTTCAGATCTTGCAATTTCATATCTTGTGCACATGCAGTATTGACTCACCTGCATGTTACATACGGGTTGCTTTTGTGCATTAAGCTCCCTCAGCAAACGATGCGACATGTCCCTTAATTCTAAAAGTCTACAAGCAAGTTGAGGCTGCAGAAGTTTGGCCACTGATTTGGAAGATCTGGATATGCTGCTTAATCCTTGAATTAATGTTCCTCGGTTGATCTTCGCTAGAGCAACAGCCATTCTGATTTTGGATGGGTTTCGCATGGGTTCTCTTTTCTGGAAAATAAGCCTCTGAAAAGTGACTGATGTGTGATTCTCCAGTGGATCATTAAAATCTACTTCAGGCCGAGACCAAGTACCGCATAACAGTACATTATGCATGGTCCTATGCATATACTCAGTGTCTGATAATTACATCCCACCCCATGTACCTAAATCTTTGAATAAATATATGATTTTTGCCTTAGCATAAATATCTAGAATTTAAGTTACTAGCCAGAAGATCTACATTTTTCATTTTTCTCTCTGCGTTTATTTATTTTTGCATTGATTTTTTTTAAGGGCACTTTCAAAAGCAAACAGTTCTTATTCAAATATTATTCAGTGTTTGAATAATTCAAACAATAATTCTTATTCAAAACTGTTACAAATATTTCTCCAGTTTACTTTAAAATCTTAAGTGATAATGCATACATACATAATGCATTGTGCAATGTAAGAAAATAAAATATCCTATATACTAATAAACAAGCTTAAGGAACTTTTACTTGTAAAAACTTAAAAACTTCCATGAACATTCTGACAGAAGAAAATCGTGGCATTAGCAAAACATATGACATGTAGATCTTTCCCTGCTGGACCAGAAGGTGAACCACAGAGAAATTACTTACAATGCGGTTAGACTGCATTCCAGGCAACAGGCAAGTATAGTTGCCATTATTGCTTTAAGTAATTTTATGGGCTATTCTGGCTTTTTTGTATGTGACTTAGGGGAAACTAATGGTTCATAACACAAATAAGGAACTTTGAACCTCTATTTATTGAGTCTAAATATATAAACACAAAACATCTTTTACATGGATTTTTTTTTTTTTTTTTTTTTTTTTTTTTTTTTTGGTCTACAATGAGCAACATGCATCTGTTGAAGAGCTAAAGTACTATGTATCATTTTTATGCATCAACTTTTGTGCATCAACTTTAAATGCATCAACTTTTATACTGAAGAAATAATTTTATTATTGCTGTTTTTGTCATTAAAGTTGAATACTCTTTTTACTGTTGAGCATTTGTCATTGGAGATAACCAAAAGCTGTTCTAGTCTGTCAATGGGGATGTATTTCTGCAGATCTGGTGTCTTATTGTGGTTTAATCTGTTAACTTTACTGGGGTGCCTGGGTGGCTCAGTCAGTTGGGCATCTGACTTTGGCTCAGGTCATGATCTCAAAGTTCATGGGTATGAGCCCTACATTGGGCTCTGTGCTGACAGCTTGGAACCTGCTTCAGATTCTCTCTCCTTCCCTGTCTGTCCCTTCCCCTCTCTGTCTGTCCCTAACTCGTGCTCTCTCTCTCAAAAATAAACATTAAAAAACTTTCTTAAAATCTGTTAACTTTACTGAAAAAGTCCCATTAGCCTACCTTTTGTCTCAACCTTCCTAGTCAATACTAACAGTCCAGAAAACAATCTAAGTTGCGGGCTGCTAGAATTGCTGCAATTCCAAGCCAGTTTAGGGTAGAGAAACCCTTAAAAGTAATTATGTGGTGGGTAAAATAAGCAAAATCACACACAGGTGCTATCACTTGATATTATATCTAGGTTTCGAGCACACCAGGGAGAGAAACCACAATTATCTGCCATAGCCAAAGCTCTTGCACATACAGATTCAATTTCTCTTGCGATCTTATGCTTTGCTTCGCTGATTCTTCTTCCCCACTCCTCCTTAAGTTGGAGCAGCTAGAATGTCTAGTTTTACTTCTGATTACAGTTTACTGTGTTTTCTCTCATAATTTATAATCATAAAGTGAGGCATAATGCCAGGGCAAACAGCAGTGGGACATGCACACTATACTGAAATTTCATCTAATAGTCATTCAGTGTATTAAGGACTCTAATTTTTGCAGATGCAAGACATTAACATTATGGAGCTTCCCTCTCTGTACTTTGTGCCTTTACAAAGTCTTGGTGATCTGTACTTGTTGGCCTGGATTCACTGGCTTTATTCGGATATTTCTGTTAACTAATCTTGATTCATTCCCCCAAACACTATACTAGATTGATCCGTTCAAACTTCTCCTCTTTTATAACATTGCCTTTCTAAATATTTTCCTCTGTAGAGAAATAAGTCTATTTGTAATTGATAAACGGTTAATCAAAATTCTCCTGTAGGATTGTATCATTTGAATTTGAATATCATTATAAATACAGCATTTATGATAAACGGTATTTTAAAAAAATTCAAGGGGCGCCTGGGTGGCGCAGTCGGTTAAGCGGCCGACTTCAGCCAGGTCACGATCTCGCGGTCCGTGAGTTCGAGCCCCGCGTCGGGCTCTGGGCTGATGGCTCAGAGCCTGGAGCCTGTTTCTGATTCTGTGTCTCCCTCTCTCTCTGCCCCTCCCCCGTTCATGCTCTGTCTCTCTCTGTCCCAAAAAAATAAATAAACGTTAAAAAAAAAAAAATTCAAGTGTGCATTACAATAATGCTTTAGTGCCCTTTGCATATTTCTCCTTTCAGTATTGTCATAAATTCATAGCTTTTTCCAACAGACTCAACCAGTTCCTAATTAATATCATCTTTGTTTCCTTTTAATGCTGAAATAGTTACAATTTGATGACTTTGCTTCCCTTCATGATTTTTACATTGCTTTCCTTTTTCAAAACTTTCAGTTACCTCCGAAACAAATATTACCTCCAGCAATAAAATGTTTCTGACCCCTTTATTTTTCCCTGACACAAAGCATACAATCAACTTGTTCCCAAGAAGACCATTACTGCTTTTAAGAATAGTATTAGAAACCACAGGGTGCCTGGGTGGCTCAGTCAGATAAGCATCTGACTTCAGCTCAGGTCATGATTTCACGTGGGTTCACGTGGGTTCACGTGGGTTCACATGGGTTTTCGTGGGTTCGTGGGTTCACGCCCCGCGTCAGGCTCTGTGCTGACAGCTCAGAGCCTGGAGCCTGCTTGGTATTCTATGCCTCCCTCTCTCTCTGTCCCTCCCCCCTTGCACTCGATCTCTCTCTGCCTCTCAAAAATAAATAAACATTAAAAAAATAGTATTAGAAACCAAATCTGGGTACTGGGGTGAATATAAAGTGGGGTTTTTGTGACTTTGAGAATAGGAAGGTAACAACAGAGGCTACTTAACAGTCCTTTAGACGCAGAGTAAGATGTTCCTCTTTTTAAAAAAGCAAAAAAACAAAAAAACAAAAAAACTCACTGGAGCACCTGGGTGGCTTAGTTGGTTAAGCATTTGACTCTTGATTTTGGCTTACATCATGATCTCACAGTTCATGAGACTGAGCTCTACATTCGGCTCTGTGCTGACAGCGCTGCGAAGCCTGCTTAAGATTTTCTCTCTCTCTCTCTCTCTCTCTCTTTTGCTCTTTGCCCCTCCCCCCTCAAGATAAATAAATAAACATTTAAAAAATACCAGTTTATGGTAATGATTCCAATTCACTTTTCAGTGAATTTTTATTTTTTTGATGTTGTTTATTCATTTAAAAAAATTTTTTTATGGTTTATTCATTTTTCAGAGACAGAGTGTGAGGGCGGAGGAGGAGGCAAAGAGGGAGACACAGAATCTGAAGCAGTTTTCAGGCTCTGAGCTGTCAGCACAGAGCCTGACACGGGGCTCGAACTCAGAGATCGTGACCTGAGCTGAAGTCGGACGCTCAACCGACTGAGCCACCCAGGCACCCCTCATTTTTGAGAGACAGAGACAGAGCACAAACCAGGGAGGGGCAGAGAGAGAGGGAGATACAGAACCTGAGGCAGGCTTCAGGTTCTGAGCTGTCAGCACAGAGCCCGATGTGGGACTCGAACCCATGAACCGCGAGATCATGACCTGAGTCAAAGTCAGATGCTTAACCAACTGAGCCACCCAGGTGCCCCTTCAGTGAATTGTTGAAAAAGGCTCCAGTAAAATATTTTAAAATAAAAAGTTTTTGTCCTTTTGTTGAGCTACCAGCTTTTCCTTTTGTCTACTATCTATGCTATGTAGTTTCCTCCCAAACTATGTGTGTAAATTTAAATGTTGACCCCAAATTAAGAAGTGCTCATTTCTTTTCCCTGGGTTGTTTTGTTTTGTTTGACTCCTGGCCTAAGTATCCCGGAATTGGTTGCAAAGTGTGCAAGTTTAGATGATTCTTATTGTCATTATCATCACCGGAGTACATTACCAAATGTATGAAAAGATATTCCAACTCCCCTCACCAGCATCACCAGGCAATGTTCATTTATCACTAGAAACCTAGCATCAGTTAATCAGATTGTTTTGAGAATCCTGCTCCAGATTTCACTATTTGACCTCCATTCTTTGAATGTATGCTGCTTTCCCTTTTTCTTTTCTTTTTGTTTTCTAGAGCCATGCCCATTTCTCTAACATCAGCAGTTTTCATGCTGAACTCCGATTTCCATTACATCAGCTTTTTATACTCCACATCCAAAAAACCAGCCTGTCAGCAAGTCTCATTCAATTCTTTCTCTGAATAGTCCTAGAATTTGACCACTTCTCACTATGCCCTCTGCCAGCACTCAGTCCATTCTACTTATACCACCTCTTCTCCAGACTAGTCAAGGAGCCTCTTCAGTGGTCTCTCTCCTTCTCTCCTTGTCTGTTGCCATTCTACTCCTCAACACCTCAGCCAGAGAGATACAAGTAAAACTTAGATCCTATCTTGCTTTTCTTTTCAGCTGCTTCAGTGGCCTCCTAGTATGCTCAGTGTAAAAGCCAAATTACAAATGCTACAAAGGTTGCCATTTTTTTACCTCTCTACCCTCATTGTCTTTTTCTCTCCTTTCCTCCTCACTAGTTGTTGAGCTGGTTAGGTATAGTCCCACCTCAGGGACTTTGCATTAGCTATGTCATTTGATTCTTCAAAGGTACCAAGGTCTGCTCCTTGGCTTCCCTCAAGTCTTTCTTAAGAATCACTTTCTCAGGGCCTCTGGGTGGCTCAGTTGGTTGAGTGTTTGGCTCTGGATTTTTGGCCCAAGTCATGATCACAGAGTCATGGGACTGACCCCTGCATCAGGCTCTGTGCTGAGTGTGGAGTGTGCTTGAGATTCTCTCTCTCTTTCTCTGCTCCTCCCCCTGATCATGCTCTCTCTCTCAATTAAAAAAAAAAAAAAGAAGTAAAAAAAAAAAGGAATCATTTTCTCACTAAGACCCTCTCGGTCACCCTAACTTAACAGTCAGTTGTTTTCCCTTTTCTACCCCTATTTCATATTTCTACTATATTTATTCTTCTTCTTATACATACCATTAACATAAATAAACTGGTTTCTTGTTTTTCTACCTGACTAGGATGTAAGTTCTATGACAGCAGTGTTTTATATCCATTTGGATCACTGATCTTTCCCCAGTACCTAGAATAGTGTCTGACACAAAATAGAGTGCTCTAAATATTTGTTGAAATGAATGAATGAATGAAGACTATCTGAAAATAGATTAATAGAAATAAATATACCAAATATTAAATTAGAAATCACCTTGAAAGTTTTCAGTGTACAATGTGCTCCGTAACTTTAACAATTCTGACAGTGCCATAACAACTCACCAAAAACAAAAATACAACTTAATTATAGAACACTTTAGTTACACTCCTATTCTCATCATATTTAGAAATATCAACACCATTAAAAGTGATTTCCAGACATTATACGTGCAGCCCCAAGAGTTTTGTCCCACATGTTCAAAAAAAAAAGCCAAGAGAATTCAGAAAAGTACAACAGCTATAAAAATCCAAAATTTAAATGGATTCTAATATGTTCTATTTACTACTCCCAATTTTATAGTATAAGGCTAAATGCAAGATAATTACAGAATAAAACACATAATCACCTTTAATAATTGAAACCACAAAAATTGACCCTATTTACCACAAAAGATTTCTCTCATTCAAGTAAGAGTTCACCTGAATTAAAACTTTTAGCTCCCTAATTGTAGAATACAGTTTTCACTTGTTCAAATGTAAAAGTTTAAGTCCTCATGAAGAAATCAGTTGTAATTGGCAAGTGTAAACCTTTAAAACTTACTTCTTGCTAAAGGAAGTGGATATTGAAGGTACTGGGATATGGGTTCGACTGAAGAACACATGACTTCAGAAGCCACGACCTCAAGCCAAGAGCCTAAAATTAAATTTTCTCAGCCCCAGGAAGAAAATTTCCTTCAAATCATTAGTCATGAAGAACTATTTAAGAACCATTATTCTCGGTATGTCCCTCTATACAAATCCCACCAGACATTTTGTTTGTTTGTTTCAGGCCAACAAGGTGGCCTTTTCCTAAATAAATAAATGCATAAAATTTTTAAAAAGAGAGATTTTAAAAGCTAATCATGAAATCTAGAAACTCAGTTTAAATTTAATCATGAAATCCAACTCAATTAACTAAAGCCCCCTAAGTATTATTAAAACTACTCCTTTCAGCATGTCTGGGAACTATGGATCATTCCCAAAAAAATAAAATTTGCAGCATTTACAATCTGACCTTTTAAAAATAATTTTGTTATCCAAGCATTAGCATTGTGTTCTGAATAATTTATTGTTGAAGTACAAGTAACTTCCATCTGTACAGTATCCTCTAACAACTTGGGTTTCTTGCCAATCTCAGCAACACATTCTTCATAGTAAAATGGTGGGAAAAGTACAATGTAAGTGTTTTGAAAATGAGAAATAAAGTAACTATGCTTATATTCTTCTCTGAATGAGGTAAAGTTCTCATAAATAAATGACTTCAGTGACTTGGAAATAGGAACTCAGAGTTCTTTCTTTGGGATCAGAGTATCAATCTATTTCACTATTAAACCAAATTTATGGCTCAAGTGATAATGAGGTAAGTCAGAGGGTAGGAAGAGATGAAGGCAGTTGTGAAGAAAGCTGCAACTTCTTTCATTCTTTAGTGTTGGCAATGGTGAGAGAATCACAATGTGGAAGCAGCAAGAGGGGTTTCCAGACCAGTCTCTAGCTTCCTAGGATTCACCTTGAGGCTTCCTCAGGAATCATTGCCACTAGGGTGCTAGCCTTAATCATTTTACATTCTAGACCAAGCATGGTCACCTGCCCATTTCCTACCGTAATATTCCAGAGCATACTCAAGAAAAATGTCCAAAAAGATTTGTCTAAAAAGATTTTATACTAAAACTAGGGGAGTGTAAAAGGGGGAAACAACTAGACACCGAGTCTAAGATACAGATTTATAGAGTCTGATTTGCTGTCTGGCGGACCACCATCTGGATGCCATCTTCCCACTATGTATCCAGATACCTGCACTTCACCATCATCCCTCCCCAAAGTCTACACCCAAAACCCATACCATTGGTTCCGATTTACTTAATATTCTGGGAACATGTTATGCTGTTTCATACTTTTTGACCTAAGTAACAGTGCTTCCTCTGTTCCTAGCCACTTACCCTATCCCTTTTTCACTTTGAAAATTTATAATCATTCTCTGAGACCCAATTTGAGCATCCTTCTTCCATAAATCCTTCTCTGACCATTCAGAATGGTAGAGCCATTCATTCCTCAAAGATAAATTTACCTCTTACCATGTTCCAAAGACAATTACTTGTTTACAATTCTGACTCCACTAGATTAAGCTCAGTGACTGAAAGAATCCTGTTTTATCTCTGTATTCCCTGTCCCCAGTCCCAGCCAATAGGAAAGTATTTAGTAAATGTCTGATGCCTGGTGGTCTGGATGAATGGTTAAAAGTCGTTCTAAGATCCCTCCTTTGGAATGAAATATATAGACTTTGGGATTACTATGTTACTCAGAGAGTTTTTTGGTATATTTCCAGGTTTTGGCTATGATGCTTATGTTTGACATTGCCCGAACTCTGATATCTGGATAAGGAGGTTATTACCGTACTGTGTAACTTTACAACATATTCTATTCTAACTGTGGTCTAGATGACTAAAATACACTTATCCATTAAGAGCTGTGTACTTTGAAGTAAATTATGTTACAAGATATTACTTTTTCCTGATCAGATATCTTTTCAACCTATCCACTCTCCAACTCCCAATATTTTATCTGTTGCAAATTCTTTTGGGAACAGAGGTTATACAAAACATATGCACATATGCTTTGTTTAAATTGGTATCACTATTTTCTTTCCACATTAAAACATATACCCATACCATGTTTATGTTTCTATTACTATAATTCATATTGGTTTTTTCACTGACTTAATTGCCATAGATTTTAGTTAAAATATATCTAGATATGTTTCTGATTTTATATTAAGCAAATCTTAAGCAAATGTAGCAAACTACATGCATTGCAATTGTGGCTATAAAAAGGTTCCAGATTTCCAGTCTGGAGATAGATTTATGTATCTATCTCACTTCCTTGTCCACCATTTCTCTGCTTTCCATAGACTTACACAATGAGTAAGATTTGAAATTTGTTTTTCTGAGACAAAATTAATTTTTTCCTAAGCTACAGGCACTGATCTCAAAATCAAGCATTAAATAATTGGTATGATATTAAAAATTCAATATACTTTTTGTAATCCTTTTCAAAGTTATGAAATCACATTACCTGATCAGACCGTGATAATCTTAGGATGGTAGGGAATTCGTCTTTAAACTCATCTAGAAGGTCCATGATTATTTTCTGGATCCCCTCGACTAAGACAAAAAGAAATTGGGGTGGGGGTGGAGAAAGCTTAACTAAAAACATTCCCTAAGCACAATTCAAAAGAACATGGGACACTGGGTCCACTTTGTAAGTGACTGGGAAAGCAAGTAAACCCTAGGGAACTTTATTCCCAGTTGTTTCCCACACCCATTATCCCCTTTACAATGAGATTGCATATACTTCTTCCAGAAAAGTTCTTCAACACCTGCCCACATATCCACCCAACAGGTTTGATTGGCATGACAAGTTCTTGCTTGGGTTCCTAGTGCTTGGCAAGCTTGCAGGCCATGGCCACACTTGTCCTACTCTGTCATTTGTGAGGGATGAGGGCACCCTTCCACTCAGGAAAGCAGGCAAGGACAGAACCTACAGTTCATTGCCAGAATTCTCTGTTACTGCACAATGGGCCTCTGAGAACTTGTTACAGAATCTTCTGAAATCACGCTGGCACTGAGAAGAGGAAGAATGTGTTTGAAGACACATTGAAGGGGAGGAGAAAGGAAAGTGAAAAATAAACTGTACTAAGGAGTTCTGCATTATACGTTGAATTTTGACCCAATTTCTATAATGATACCTCAGTTAATGGATCATCTGAAACAAAGCTCCCTTTGAAAAGAGTTGGCATATGCTTTAAAAGAAATGTTTCACATATGATGCCAAGTGGAAAAGAAACACCAGCAGTTAATTCAGAAATACTTCTGAACAGGTTGTTTTTCCTTCACTCAAATAAATATCACTAAGTAAAAGACAGGCAAAATTATAAAATATATCATTTGTCTTCTTTAAAATACCAAGCTATTTTTTTCTTCTTCATCTTTTTCCCTCATAGTCCTCTCCCACTTCATTATTTTCCATTTATCAAGTCTAGGAAGAATTTCATGTCATGTGTGCTTGATTACCTAGTTACTATTTTAGTGTGGATGAATTCAGAGTTGATTAACATAAATCCCATTTAAAATTTTTTTCATGCTTATTTATTTTTGAGAGAGAGAGCATGCAAACAGGAGAGGGATAGAGAGAAGGAGACAGAGAATCCAAAGCAGTCTCTGCACTGTCAGCACAAAGCTCAACACGGGGCTTGAATCCACCAACCTTGAGATGATGACCTGAGCCACAGTCGGACGCTCAATCGACTGAACCACCCAGGCACCACAAATCCCATTTTAATTTGAAGACTTTATATTTAATTGTAGCTAGACCATTGTCCTCAGCAAGCATAAATCTGTGGGCGCTAAGGGTCTGCTCATAGGAACTGTCTAGGAAATGTTCATCAGAGGATTCTTTTCTTACGTAAAGTCTGCCAGATCCCTGGTTTTGATTTGTGATTAGTCCTCATCTGAGAACACTCTTCACGACACCCAACCATTTCTCTTAACCTTAGCAGAACATGTTTCCCTCCATCATGACCCTTATGTTTAAGATAATTATGCCATTAATATTTAGAAACTGCAATCCACTGCCAGAAAGAAAATCTTATTAGACGATGAACACACAGACTGAAAGTCTGTAAGATAATGTAAACCTTTATTTGTCCTATTAAGTTATACGCCTATCAGAATTTACCCCAGGGAACAGCTGGCAGTACCTTCGTTCTCTGGTCTTCTTCCCTGTTCTCTTCTCCACTCTCCTTGGCCCCCTAATTTCTTTTCATCCATCTGCCTACCACTTGATGTCCTAGCTTCCAATTAGTTTCAGCCAGTTTTTGTTTTCTCTTTTTATCTTTTCTCACCCTCCTAGGCATCCTATGAAATTTGAAATTAACAAATCTATAAGAAAAGCAGTTCTTATGCTAAAAGGCATAACGGGACTCTATGTGTTATGCTAACAAAGTTCTTTGCTTTCTACTGAGTCTCTTCTTGGAAGAGGAATGATGAAAAAAAGACAGGGGATAATGAGATTTAAGAAAATCGCAACTTGTCACACTTATTTTATGTTTGTGACCATGTATGATAATATTTTGGGTTTTGCTTAATTACCATTTTTACCCATATCTTTATGTATCATGTTATTTCAGGTAATAATGTTAGACAAAATAAATTATGTTAATGGTTATGTTCTTTAACTACTATATTCTTTTTTTTTTTATAGCTCACAATAGAGTGCTCCATACTTATAAAAATTAATTAGGAAACAGTTGCAAATACCTCCAAATAGTATTTACGTAAGCTCTGCAAAATTATTTGTATTTAAAAGGCTTTAATACGGGAAAAAAGAGAATCTTTGATTTGCACAAAGCTTAGAAGAAAATGAATATTTTACACACTGTAAGTGAAGGCAGTATCAGCTTCGAGAATGAAGAGTTTTGGGGTTCAGTCAGACCCAGATTTAAATTCCAACTTTATCACCTACATACTGGGCTGTGTAAACTTGGGCAAATTATGTTTTCTAAACCTAAATTTTGTCTTTAAAAAGTTGGCAGTACTTATTTGATGGACCAATTATGTTCAATAAATGGCAACTGTTGTCAAATATACAATAGTTATCTTGCTTTTGGAAAATTTGCAAAATTTGGGGGAAAGTCAATACTAAGTTTGCCTTGTTCACATGGGTTTCAGCCTGTTTTCATTTCTCACACAACTGGCTGGAACCATCCTAAGTAGATTCTTCCCTCAAACCTTCTTCGAACTCAAATGATACAGAGCTACTCACCTGATTTCAAGTATTACCTATCAAGTCTTTTGAATGACTTCTTTCAGAATCATCCTTGGCCCAGTCAGGGATTTGGACTGGAAGCCATCTCTTTTTGGTGCCAGCCTCACAGGTGGATGAGTTCTGTTGGTCCCAGTGCTATATTCCTCCAGTTCACAGCATGCTTTGAGACTACGTACATCTCAGGCTATGTATTAAATGCTTAGTAATGTCAAAATAATTTTAAAAATCATTATCTGAAGGAAGGATACTGACACTTACTGAAGGCCAAATAAGTACTAGTAACTGTTGTTAAAGAATAAACTGAGGGACATTAAAAAGTTTAAGTTTATTTGGACAAAAATCTATTCGTATCAGGTATCACCAAACCAGAAGTGATTAGGAGCTCTCCACAGACAGTGGGTAGGGCCAAGACTTTCATAGGGAAGACATGGAAACAAAGCAAGGAACTTATTTTGACTGTATTAGCTTAAGCGCATGCATTATTTAGGAAAGCCTAGTTGGCTGTTTGTGATTTGTTGCCTTAGATTTAAATGGCATAATCTTGAGGCATTTACAGGTTTAGGCATCGGAGGCACCTCAATCTAATGGCCTCCATGCTTAATTAATTTAACACTGTGCTAAGAGCTAGGTTATACCACTTATCTCTTAATTCTCATAACAACTGTCAGAGGTAGGAATGTTCTGAAAGCAATCTGAAAATATCAAACAATACCAATACATTGATATTACCAATACCAATTGTCATCGTGGGACTACATCCCAATTTTTAAAAATCCTCTATAATAATTTGTATAAAAATAGTTAATGCAAGGCTCTTCAGGATGGCATAAATTGGAAGTAATTCAAATACAGGTTTCCCCTGCTATCAGAAAGAAGAGCTTCCCTATTCCTATGAAATATTTTATAAGCTGAAATGGAATAAAGCAAAGAAGCAATTATCACTAACTTATATGGAAAATGTTTTGAGTGTTTCCAGACCAAAAATTAACCTCTCTTAGGCCTTTCCAATAGCCTAGGACACTTCTTGCTAAGTGATACACAAAATCAATTGAGGTAAAGCATAGGTGCTCAAAGACACGGTCCAAAGCTATTATGGCTGCTTGATACTGAGTGTAGTTCTGGGAAAGGAGCTTGGTGGGGCCACTGTTGCTGCTCAGGTCTGGACAGCCTCGATAACAGCTCGCCGCAACACAAACACTGAATGCTATTTTCATTTTTCTTTCCTTTTCATAAAAGTGAAAATCTTCTTTGGATTTCTTCCAGAGAGTAAAAGCAGGTAGTACTATCAAGTCTTTTATAAAAGCACAGTGGGTATAACACAAACTTTTGAAAAGTAGGGACTACCTGTACATGGCATTCATCAAATTATTGTTACCCCAACACTATGGAAAAGCTTCTGCTCGTTGTATTCGTAAAATGTGGAGTCTTTAAAAATCTAACTATGTGCATAAACTAAATTTAACAAAAAGTATGGAAAACAATTTAGTTTATAACCACCCAAAGTTATACGTACACAAACAAGGCTTAGAAAGGAAAATACTAATAAAAAGCAATGTTTATTGGGTTCTTTATGCCCCCTAAAATTGTGTCATGGCAAACAAAGCACATAAATTTTAAAAAACACTATAGAAAAACTGTTTCCATATGATTATTCACTTATGCCTAACTGATTAAATATCAAGTTTATGTCATGAAGTATAAAGTGAGATAGTATAAGATAGTATAAGTAAGATAGTAAGATAGTATATCACTTTGTTCAGAGACTAGTGAAAAATTTTATATCAATAAATTTAGTGTGTAGGAGACGTCTCCACAACTACTGTTAAAGGCTCAGACAGGTCCTGATGTTGGAGAACTGATGGGGCAGACTGATACAAGCCTATGTATATACACTAGACTACAGGATCCTTCTGGAGAGAACACAGATTTAAGTACAAGGGTCAGCTCTAGCAAAGACAGTCTAGTAACGATGCCTTAATTATCTTGGGAGAAGAGTGATTCTGAGCACAGGCTGGTGTATGTCATTCAGATCCCTCCAGTAGGGATTCGGAGTAGATGGAAGGAAAGAGAGGCCATAAACAGTCTTACTAAGCTTTCTTAAGGCAGTGAGCACAAATTAGCTATACAATTAGGGTATCCCCCACAGAAAGTAAAAGAAAAAGGGAAAGGAAGCATTTTCAGGACTTTGCCAAAGATCTTGGCTCTCTGAAAGTGTTATCACATTAGTGTGGGAGTGCATTGTGAGGATGGAGTGTCCAGAAAAGAGACAAAACTGAAACAGTGCCCAGGGAGACATAGTAGTATCCATAGAAGTAGTCACAAATGCCAACCAGATGCTACTTGCAAGGCAGCTGACCAGATTTGTTCTTAATAATTAGACACTTCGGGAATTCCCAAAAATATTTGCAGGGAAGGGAGAAGATTCAAGCCTTTGTACAGATTTGAAGTTCTGCAGGTGGGGCAAAGCCACTGAAGTATAGGTTATTGTTATTCTTGTGATCCTACTTACAATCATAAGTTGACCAAGCTTGGGAAATCCTGGGTCACAAGAGAAAATATACAGACCTTCTCATTATAGTAAGAATTAGA